GGAGCACATGGAGCTGCTGGAGAGAGCCCAGAGGAGGCACCAAGAGGATCCCAGGGCTGGAGCAGCTCTGCTGGGAGGAAAGGCTGGCACAGCTGGGATTGTTCAGCTGGACAAGAGAAGCTTTGGGGGGACCTGAGTGTGGCCTTGCAGGGCCTGAAGGGGCTCCAGGAAAGATGGAGAGAGACTATTTCCAAGGGCTGGAGGGACAGGACAAGGGGAATGGCTTCAAACTGCCAGAGGGCAGGGATAGATGGGATATTGGGAAGGAATTGCTGGCTGGGAGGGTGGGCAGGCCCTGACACAGGTTGGGCAGAGAAGCTGTGGCTGCCCCTGGATCCCTGGAAGTGTCCAAGGCCAGGTTGGAGCACCCTGGGCTGGTGGAAGGTGTCCCTGCCCATGGCAGGGGTGGCACTGGATGGGCTTTAAGGTCCCTTCCCACCCAAACCATCCTGGGGTTCTTCTCTGCCCTGGGATAACTCCTGCTCTTCCAAAACACACTTTGACCTTTCCAGGCAGTGGCTCCTTCACAGGCTTTGCCTCCTGTTTCCTCCATCCATCCCAAACACCTGATTTTCTGGGATGTTCCCTTAGGAATCCTATTCAGTAAAGCCTTCAATTTTACCTCTCAGGTCTGGCACAGACAGAGAGCTCTGACCTTCTTTAAACCAAGCCAGACATTTCAAGTGAATTTAAAAATCCCCAAAATCTCACTACTCTCATTATAAACTTACTTTGAGCAAAGCACACGCCCTCCCCCCCCCAAAAAAAAAAAAAAAAAAAAAATTAAGAAAATGCTCCTAAGGAGAACTCCCCAATTTGTCCCTCCCAACCTCGATTATTCGGTGATTCTGTGACTTTTTTTTTTTTTCCTTCTTCCAAACGTTTTCCCATTTATTTATAATCAAGTCGTGTACAATCTGATTTTATTTTAATTTTATATTTTTTTTTTCAATTCTGGCCAGCTGCTTTTCACTGGAGAAATTCGGATTTTTTTTTGAAAGCCGCGCCTTCGCCTGCTCCGGGGTTTATTTTTTGCCGCTAGATGGTGGTGTCTGTGCTCGGAACGACCGCCTGGCTCCTCTCCAGGGAATTTAACGATTCCCCCCAGGAAGCTTCTCCTGCGGGCAGAGAAATCATTCGAGTTAATCGCTGCCCATTTACGCTGAAAGACACGCTGCGACCTCAAATATTAAGGGAAAAAAATATATATTTTTTTTTTCCCCCTTGGCTTCCCAGCCTTTCCACTCAAAAGAATTTGCTGCCTTCCTTTCCCGTGGGGCAAGAAAGGATGAATCTTTAAATCCTAAGATTAGGGAGATTCAGATTGATTGATTGATTGATTGATTGATTGATTTAGAGACGGGAGGGGGTTTAATTTGAATTAATTTGTGGGTTGAACCCTCAAGCTCTAAGGGCAAAGAGGTCCTTGGTGGTCACCGATCTCAGCTTCAGGCTCAATTAATGATATGAAATATAATTAATAAATTACTTCACCCGCAAATGTGTCACCTGAATTGCGAGAACCAGCCGAGGGTGGATTAATATTTGGGCCACGGTTTTCCCAGCAGGAAGATTCCAGGGTTTTCTTGGTGGCAGATTTTGCTTCTTGGCTTGCAATGGTTTTAAGCTGAAGAAGGGCAGGTTTAGGGTAAATAAACTTAATTTTAAAAACCTCTGAAGCTCATTTTTGGGCCTTACCCTGGAAGGTGGTGCTACATATATATATATATATTTACAATTGTCATTTATGGCTTTATTGACCAAAGTAAAGAAGGAAGGTTGTAAGAAAATACCCCCTCTAAGAATAAAATAAGGAGGGAAGGACACAAACCTGGCTTTCTTTGTCCTTTTTTCCACTGATTTTAAAGTCATTTGGTCGTGGCACAGCAATGGGAGAGCTGTTAAAATGTACAAAAAAGGATGAAGATAAACTGGATCAATCACCAGCAGGAGGAGACACAAACAGCATTATGACCTTTTTAATTCCAATTTTCCTTTTGTTTGCCTGCTCAGTGACCCTTTGGTAGAACACCATAAAAATATGTAATAATAACATATAATACACACTAATATACTATAATAATATATAGAATATTTTAATTTATGGCATATTTATATGTAGAATATTTCAATATATTGTGTGTTTTAATATGTAGCATTTTTTAATATATATTATGTATATATACTGTACATACACACACACTGTATATTTATACTATAATGTGCAGTATTTTTACTATATATACTGTACACACAGTGTATCATACGTACCATAATTTTATATATAGCATATATATACTGTATATACTCACTGTGTATGTGCCATATATACACGATATATGTACATATACATATACACTGTATATATACACATCAATATGCATATAGATACATACATATGTAGATACATACATATATATATATGTCTATATCTCTATATATATGTATGTGTGTATAAATACTGTGTTGCTCGGTTGCCAGCTGGGGCGACGACGACGACTTTATATACTATATGTACAGTATATACAGCATTTATAGCATATTTCACATATATAGTATATTATATGTATTATATACAGTATTTATAGCATATTTCACATATATAGTGCGTTATATATACTGATTATTCCTCTCCCTCACGGCGTTGCCCTCACTCAAGATGGCGGAAGGCGCCTCCCTCAGGCACCTGTTGCCACGGCGGCCGCCGCTTCCTATTGGCTGACACGGGGCGGGGGGGCAGCGGCGGCGGCTTCCTATTGGCTCAGACGGCGAGGGGGGCGAAGGAAACAAAATGGCGGGCGCCGGGCGGGTGAAGCCGCCCCGGCAACGTCCGCTCAGCCGCCCCCGCGCGGCCCCGGCCATGGAGGAGCTGCCGCTCCGGGAGCCGCCGCCGGCCGGGGAAGGAGAGGAGGAGGAGGAGGAAGGAGAGGAAGAGGAGGAGGAGGAGACGGACACAGAGTGGAGCTTCGTCGACGGCGAGATGGAGGCGGTGGCGCTGCGGGACCTGCCCACCGCCACCATCGCCTGCAACCTGGACCCGCGCGTGTTCCAGGACGGGCCGTGCCGGGTGAGCCGCGCCGGGAGGGGCCGGGGTGGGGGGCAAAATCGGGCTCTGCTCCCGGGGAACAAGGGCCAGGAGGAGAGGGAACGGCCTCCGGCTGTGCCAGGGGAGGGTCGGGTTGGATACCGGAGCAGTTCCTTCCTGGAAAGGGTTGTGAGCCACCGGCACTGCCCGGGCTGGGCTCGGGATCGGCGGTCCCGGAGCTCCCCTCCAGCCTCGGGGGTTCAACCCCAGCGCTCTCCCGGTTTAATTCCTTTTAATTCCCGCACCCTCTGCTCGGGGACAAGCTCCACGCAGACCAGCACGGGGGAAAAAAATGAGCCTTGCACCGCCTTACCCCGCTGTGGCCGAGGTTTTGCTCGGCGCACCCCAAAAGCACGGGTTTGCCTTTTTTTTTTTTTAATACGTTTTTATAGTTGGTTTTCCTACAGGCACTTCTATCCTGGTGTCTTTCATACTGAGGGAGATGCTCAGCTTTTTTTAAACAGGTGGGAGTCGAATGGACTTGAAAAATCGGGCAATAAGTGTACTAAAGGTTTAAACCCCCTAAAATAATCGCCTGTCCCTTGGTGAAGCACCACTTGGAAACACCACATCTCAACCTGCTGACGGCTATAAAGTATTAGAAGTAGGAGATGCAGCTCCATTATATTGCAGTTTCTCAGGTTATTTAATTTTTAATGATAGTATTTTTTTTTTTTTGGTGTGTATCGTAGAATTCCAGACTGGTTTTGGGGTGGAAGGGACTTTAAAAGATCCACATGGGCAGGGACACCTTCCACCAGCCCAGGTTGCTCCAAGCCCTGGGCCTCGGACACTCCCCAGGGATGGGTCTTTGAACACTTAAACCGTTTTTCAGTCTTTTTTTTTTTAATTATTCCAGTTAATCTCTGTCTGCAGTAATTTAATTTAGACGAGGGCAAAGTCTTAGGTGCCCTTAAAACGACAATAAAAAATTGGTTTAACTTCTTTCCCCCCGCCTCTTTCTAAGAGCTGCAGCAGGAAGGGATGCAGATTCCTTAAAATACTAACACATTAATTAGATGTTCATCATTAATTACTTGTTCATCATCTCAGCACAAACCCCGTTCTCTCGCCCTTGGATGACAACTTATTACTGCAGAAATGGCTTTTCTGAGGCAATGAATGGGAGAATTATCTTGAAGAAATAGGTGTGTCCAGGAGGGGGGAAAAAAAAGCCTCAAAAGTTTTATAAATAATGCAAAATAAAATAAAAAAAAAAAAAAGAGAGAAGAGTCGAGGCACTGGTTTGCTAAATATCCTGTGAATTTGGGTGGGCTTCGGTGCTTTTCTGTGAACTTTCTGCTGTTCCCAGAGCGGGGTAACCCTCCTAAAATACCTTCTCCGTGTAGTTAACGTTCCTTTTTCCCTTCAGAAGGGCCCCTTAATAATCCTGGATTGCCCCATTTGGGGAGGGTTGATCCAATCAAAGGTGAGACAGGACAGCTATTTCTGTTTTCACCCTTCCCAAACGTTGATTTGGGCTTGAAATGCTGCTCGAATTTATTGTTCCTCCCCTTTTTTTGAC